TTTTGGGAATTGGGGGGGGAAAAAAAAAAAAAACGAAATTCCATTGCCACGGGGAAAATTTGTTGGGTTCCAAATTTTTTTTTTTTTTTTTTGGCCCGGGGGGAAGGGGGCCCCCCGGGGGGGGGGGGGGGGGGAAAGGGGGGGGTAAAAAGGACTTTTTCCCCCGGGTTAAATTTTATAAAGGGGAAAAGGGGGGAAATTTTTTTTTAAAAAAACGGGGTAGGGCTTTGGTTTTTTTTTTCCCCCTCCCGAAAAAAAAAAAAAACCGGGGTAATAATAATGGGGGGGGGGGGGGGGGGAAAAGGAAAATTCCATTTTAAAGGGGGGGGGGAAAGGAAATTTTCCCCTCCTCCCCGGTTGTTTTTTCCGGAAATTTTAATTTCCCGAAAAATTTAACAAAAAACGGAAAACGCCAATTTTTTTTTTTTCCCTTTGTAATTTTTTTTTAAAAAAAAAAAAAAAAAAAAAAAAAAAAAAAAAAAAACAATGATAAAGATGTTGAAAATTAATAATAATAATATTTTTTCATTGATTACGGGGGGGGGGGGAAAGGGGGGGGGAGAGGGAGAGAGAGGGAAATACTGTTTAAATATTTACACGCGATCCGGGGAAAAAAAATAAAAAAAATATTGATAATAATGATTATTAGAATAATAATAATAATAAAATTTCCCGACAAATTTTTTTTTTTTTTTTTTTTTTTTACCAACAGTAAACTGCGTGTACGAAAAATGACGACGTGGTTTTAGTTTTCTTTCTTTTTTAAATAACTTTAAAAACGTTTTGTTGTTTTCCTTACAAAAAAAAAAAAAAAAAAACTAATGATAATAAGTATGATGATGATGATAAAAAAGGTCATGTTCATGTCATTCGCGTTCCTTCTTTTAAAAAAAACTAAACTTTGAAAAGTGAGGAATTTTCCACGTTTCGGTTGAGGTCAAACAATTACGCACGCACACGCACGCACACACGCACGTCCAAGGTAAAGGTGAGCATGAATGCATTTCAACTCTCGGCTATTTCCAAAATAAATAAATAAATAAAATGGCAAAAAAAAAAAATTTTCCCGACAATGTCGGGACCGGACGTTCAAAAAAAAAAAAAAAAATCTTTCATTGAAATAAGGTTCGAATTAAGAGGGCGAGGGGGGAGGGGAAAAACGGATTTACGTGGCGGAAGAATACAAGGATGCTACGGGGAGGGGGAAGGGGGGTTTACCTTTTTTTTCCTTAATAGTCGAGTGACAATGACATGAAATTGCTTTATTCTTTTTTTTTTTTATTTTTTTTTTTATTTTTAAAATTTAACCAACTTGGTCGCTAATGGATTTCAAGAGTGCTTTAAAATAAAATATTATTTTCAACTCATCTCGAATACCGACGACTACCACGGGGCTGCTAAGCAAACATCCTTTCCTGTCTCTCTCTCTCTCTCTCTCTCTCTCTCTCTCTCTTTACCTCATTGCATATGTAAACAATTCCGATTCAGGTTCGTGTTTTTTTCTCTTATATTCTTTTTTTTTTACCAACCCCTCTTTTGACTTATTATTATTATTATTAATATTTTTACTTCATTTCCCTCAAACCCTTCGACCGGTTTACCCCTATTGCGCTTAAAAAAAAAATATGTATACATGTGCACACCTAAATATTCGGGTCGCCGATCGGAAAAAAAAACTCGGGTTCGAATTCGATTTCAGCTGGCCGTTCGAATAGTTCGACAGCAAAAAAAAAAAAAAAAACAAAACAAACGACGAAAGATTTTTTTTTCTTTTTTGTCGGGATCCCACCGACATTACAAGAGGAACATCAATCGTTTCAGCCATAATTCTCATTCGTACATTTAAATGGACGTAATTACGTCATCATTAACAACGCGATTGTTAATCTCGAAAAGGTCAAAACCCGTAATTATTATTATTATGATTATTACTTGACGGTTCAACGGTAGCCAGTAGCCAACACCAAAAAACTTTGCTTCCGAAGAAAAAAATTAAAAATTATGTTAACGATTTTATAAGGGACGGACGTCATTACGGTAATTATTCAAAGCAGACGAAAATAGACAGCAAAAAGACGAAAAAAACGAACGAACGTTCAACAACGAGAGGTTTCCACAGGCGACGACAAACATTGTAAAACAAAAAGAAAAATGGCTGTCGTTTCAACTCATCATCGAGTAATTCGAGAAGTGGAAGAAGCCAATGATATCTAATATTTCATCCATCTCTTGTGCAAACACATCGATCCCCAACAAAACGATAGAGCTAATGGAGAGTAGCTCTTCTTGGAAACTTTGTCTGACATCAAAAAAACAGTCAGGACCGTATTCAAGTTTAATTTAATTTAATTTCGAACCTCTCTCGACAAACCCAAGAGAAAATTAATTTTTAAAAAAACAATTTTTTTTGTGCGTACGAAAAAGACATTATAATAACACTAACCAATTACGACGAATATAATTATTATTATTATTTCAAACTCGAAAAAATACCTTCAGGAATCCGAGGAAAATGTTTCAAAATCTTTTTTAAATAAAAATTATTCGAATAAAAATGAAACTAGTCATTCCACGTCGAAAAAAAGCTCACTCCGGAAAATTTATTTTAAAAAAAGTTTAAAAAACAAACGTAAACTTAAAGCAAATAAAAAACAGCAAACCAAAAAGAGAGAGAGAGAGATAGAAAAGAAGGTACACCAAGAGGAAAATTTTTTTTAAATTTAAAAAAAAATAAAAAAAAAGACGTCAAACCAATTAAAATGTCATCGTGGAGTTCGTGTGTGTGTGTGTGTTAAGGGCTGACCGAAAAATGTAAACACTTTTCACGTTGGCAAACTTTGTAAGATTGAAATAAGAGAGGAAAAGGCAAAAAAAAAAAAAAATCCTAAACAAACCCGAAGAAAACAAAAACCATTTGAGAGTATATAAATAATTGATGTCAACCTGTGGTGACGAGGAAACGAGAGACCAACAAACGGGAGACCACCTATGAAGATGCGCGTGACTTTTTTTCATTTTCATTGTCTGATTGTAAAGAGTGAGAGAGAGAGAGAAAACACTAAAGACGGTGAAAAAGAAAAAGAAAAAGAAAGAAAAAAAAAAAAGGTAGTTAATGTTATGTTTAATAGCATTAAAAGGTTTTAATTCGATTGAAAAAAAACATTGTCGACCCCGATTGTATACCAACAAAAACATTTTTTTCGAAACTTGTAAACACAATAATAATAATAATAATAATTAAATTTTGTAAGGGGGGCGTAAGTGGAAAATTCACTTCCGAACCATAATTAAATCAAAGTTCAACTTGTCAGTTAGTTATTTTAGAAAAAAAAAAAAAAAATGGCGTCGAATTGAATTACGCGTATGCAGCAATCACATTCTTGTGTGCGTAAATTGTACAAATGTTTGCGTACAATTTTCCTACCGTTCGGGAAAAAAAAAAAAAAAACAGAAAAACCTTAAAAAGGCAAAATCGCGGAAAATGCAAAATAAAATTTTAAAAAAAGCGTGCAAACAAAAACGAAAAAAAAAAAAAAAAAAGTAAATATTTAATAATAGGAGGAAGAACAACCAATAGTAAAAAAAAAAAAATTTACACGTTTTTAAACGTAAATTATTTTATACGGTTCATTACGTTGTTTTTTTTTTTCTGTCAAGGCCCCCTCAATGTTTTTGTTGTTGTTTTTTTTTTTTTTTCGCACGCGTTCACGGTTTTAAATTTTTTTTTTTTTTTTTTTTTTAAATACGTTTAAAAGTGGAACGATCGTCACGATTTTTTCATTATTATTATTATTATTTTATTAATTTTCATTTACGTTTTGGGATATATCAGGGGGGTACGAATACAATAACGAGACGACAATTTACTCAACCCACATATGTTGATCAAGGCAAGGAAGTGAAAGTTTAAAGGAAACGTTTAAACCGGTACCGAAATTAGCAGAAGAAAAAAGTTGCAGTCGTACCTTCTCTCTCTCTCTCTCAATCAAACCAAAAAAGAAAAACCTGTCGCAACGTGCGATTGTCGAACGTCGACGTCGAAAAAAAACCTAATCGAAACCTATTGACCGTGATAATAATAATCGTCGTCGAAGGTTTTACTTTACTCCATTTTTCTTTTGACCGTGAAATTATTATTATTATTATTATTATTACGCAACGATCCGCGCGCGGGGATTTCGACATTAATAAATTTTTTTTAATTATTATTATTATTTAAAAAAAAAAAAAAACAAAAACGAAGACGAGAAACGTTTTCGAAAACGCGCGTGAAAGTTTTATTAATTCGGGTTCGTGAGAAAAGTGATTTAATTTATTAAATCATTAATAAATTTTTTTAAAAAATGATAGGTTTCAAAACGTAGTAAAAAAAAAAAAAAAAAAAAAAATCTATTCATTTCGCGATCCAATTATTATTATTATTATTCGAATTCACGTTTTACCGGTTTTTTTTTCAGTAAAAAAAAAAAAACTAACGCGTGTAAATTAAAATCCAATAACGAAAAGAAATTTTTTTTTTTTTTCAAACGACGGGGGGGTGGGGGGGGAAAGGGATGCCCCCTAAACTTTCTCCCCCCCCCGAGATTTTGCTTTTCAAATTTTTTAATGTCAAATCGTAAAAAAAAAAAAAAACGAAAAAATAATAATAATAAAACAAAACAAGAAAATAAATATCGAAAGCGGTAGGGAAAGCGATGGATGGACCTACCATCGTCCATTTTCTCTCTCTCTCTCACCTTTCTTTATTTTTAAAAAAAAAAAAAAAAAAAAAAAAAAAAACGTGATTGAAAAAGAGGTCCGATTTCGACGAATGACGTGAGCGGAAAAAATTAATAATCAATAATAATAATGATAATAATAATAAATAAAAATTGAATCTCTGACTAACGTTTTTTTTTTAAAACGTTAACTTTTCTCAACCAACCTCTCGCATTATCGATAAATGATTTCCTCACTCAAATCGAATTAATAAAATTAATAAAATTTTTCTCAAAGGGATTAAAAAAAAAAAAATTAAAATTGACCGTTAATCCCTTTTCCTAAGATAACATTGCAAATTTATGTAACAGAATTTTCGCACACGAAGCATAAATAAAAACGCACTTCCTCACTCTCTCTTTAATTGAATAAAAAAAAAAAAAAAAAAAAAAAATTGTTTTAAACAAATGCATTTGCGTATGAAGAGTGTTTACGTGTTTACAGGGGGGCAATTTTTTTTTTGTCTTGACCGAAAAATTGTCACGGTAAATGAAATTACGTTTCCACACGCATAAGAGATCAAAGTTCAAAAATTATTTTTTTGTAAAAAAAAAAATTACAAAAGCGAAACATTAAAACAAAATAAAAAAAAAAAAAAAAAAACATATTTTTAATTACACAAGGTCATTTTTTTTTTTTTAATTTGAGTCTTGGACTCTCGTAACGATTCGTAAATATTATAATTTGATAAAATTAAAATTAAAATTTGTTTTTGTTTTGGCTTTTGTAATTTTTAATAAAATAAGCATGAGCATTCAATCTCTCAAATATGGTAATCGATGTCAATTTTTTTTTTTTTTTTTTTTCCATTAATATCAAAATCGATTAGCATATTTTATGAAGTAAGAAAAAAATCTTTGGCAATGGCTCACCTCATTAAATTCTCGAGTTGTTTTTTCAAGCATTTGAGTCACCCTTGATATTAAGGCTTCTTCTCCAAGTTTTACAGCGTTACGTATTTCGAAAATGGCATCTGAAGAAAAAAATTTCAAATTTCAAGTTCGATAATGGGGGGGAAACACACAAACAAAATGAAATGATAGGTTAACAAGTATCACATTGTAAATATTTTCTAAATAAGTACTCTCAAATTTTATGGTCTCCTGTCAAACTAGTAATTTTGAAAATAAGTTAATAAATGTAGACTATAAATTAAGACTGTAGAAAATTTTATTACCTGATAAGGCACCTGGTTTGAAACTCTCACAGTCTGTTTTCCATATTTTTGAATTTATTTTTAAAGTTTCTAATTCCAATTTTGTTTCTTGCAATTCCCTTCTCAAATGACTATTACTTTCTTTGAGCTCGTTAACTTGTTTTATAACTGAAAAAAATTCTTGAGAGCCTGCTTCTGTAGTAGCAGCAGATTTACTGCTACATTCAGACCTAAAATAAATATATACATTTATATATTCACATGTAATAAAAAAGAAATTACGATTTTAATAATTGAAATTGTTCATGTTTACCTGGTGCTTGAACAATCATCGGATGACATTTGTCCAATGCCAGGATCGCTAAATCGTCTCTTACAAAAAATTTCATTATCACTAGATTTTGGACCATAGAGATCACAATTAACAGGAGGTAAACTTGTGTAATCTTGTTGATCTCCATTGCTTAATCTAGGAGTATGAAAAATTGCAGGTACTTCATTTATAGAATTAGTTTTACTTCTTCTATTTTTGGTACTCGATTTGTGATGTTTCGACTTATTGGAATGATTTTCAATTTCTAAAGGCACTCCACAATTTCTTTGAGGCTGAATGAGTGCAGAATAAATAGGCAATGAAACTGGCTCAAATGAAAAACTCAGCGGAACAGAATAGTGACAAATTGATGAATCAGGTGTCGAATAAGATCTTTGCCCAACTGGATGAAGTCTTGCTTGAGCAGGCCAATTAGAATAAGAATTTTGACTTGATTCATATTTTTTCTTGTCACAACGCATCGACTTTTTTAACTTATTTTTATCGTTATACATAATATCTCTATCGATAGAAGAATAATCCAAATTATCACACTGAAATCTTCTATTCTTATATTCTTTTCTATAAAAATAATATTTAATATATTTAATGGGAAAACCTGATGATAAAACGAACCCCGAGAAATTTCAAAAAAAAAAAAAAAAAGAAAAAAATTTACTCACCGGTAAAATTGTTTATTCATTTTATTTTAATTTTACTTTTTTTTGCTGAGGTCACTTCTAAAAGGCATTTAAAATGTTGAATGTGGGAGTGTACAATTTCTTTTCACTTAAATAACAACCACAACTAATAACTATTCATCGTCATTGGTGTATTTTTAATTATTAATGAAAGCACTTAAATAAGGCAATGATAATTACTTTTTCGGCTATTTTCCATTAAAATATACTATTGAATAATATAACAAATATTTATAAATTTTTTTCACTAACAATCGTTTCTTAAAAAAAAAAAAAAAAAAAAAAAAATTGGGCTAACTTTCAATATAACAAGCAATCATCGGTCGGGTTACTAAGAAGGCGGGTAATTTTGTCGCAAACTTAAAAAAATTATTCTTCTTGTCAAATAATGTCAGGGCTGTTTAATTTAAAATTATATAAGCCGTAACTTTTAAATTAAATATTACTTAAAATGTTTCAGAAGTCTCTTTATCTTTTATTAAATTAAGTTTATGATTGAATCTGAAATGTTTTTGAATACTACCGGCTTTAAATCTTTAAATTCCATTGATGAATTTAAAAATGGAAGGAAAGACGAGGACAATTTTTTTTTTGATTTTTTTGATATTTTGTCCGAAAGAAGAGGTACCAGTGATATTTTGTGGGCTTCCAGAGAATGGAATCCTTCTGTCGCTTATTCACAATCAGAAAAATTGATGGGAGATTCTATTAAAACGATGGTTCTTAATAGTCCACACTTAAAACACAAAATTTTTGAGGTAAGAAAAAAAACTCGCAGTTTTACATTAACTTTTTTATATCTAGGTCAATATTTTACTTTTACCTTATTTTTCATTTTTTAGATGAATAATAAATTTTCAATTCCGATTAATGTTTTATACCAAAATGCTCACGAAATTTTAGAAGAAATTGGTTTCTACCGCAAACTGCCTGTTATTAGATGGTTTGGAGTTTTTTTTGCTAAAATTTTTAAAAAATTATATACTTCAATCTATGTAAATGAGGCCAAATTTCTTAGGGTAATTTTTAAATTTAAAAAAATTTTGTTTTTCCTAAATAAAAAATTTCTATAAATTTGTTTTTTTTTTTGATTTTTTAAGATTATATCAAACATGGGAAGCAATCCAGTTTTATTTCTACCAACTCACAGAAGTTATTGTGATTTTATATTAATGGCTTATATTTGTTTTCATTATGAATTTGATATTCCTAAAATAGCAGCTGGAATAGGTAACAAATTATACTTTTCATTTTCTTGTGACTCTAATCAATTTTATGAAGATCAAATAATTTTTTATTAATATGGAATATTGTCAATCATTAGATGTAAAATACAATAAATGTTTATTTTTTTAGATTTTTTATCAATGTCTGTTATTGGTAATTTACTAAGAGATTCATGTGCTTTTTTCATGAGAAGATCTTTCAATAATGATGAGTTGTATGCGACAATATTTAATATATATGTTCAAAGCCTTGTTATTAAAAATGATTCGGCTATTGAATTTTTTATCGAAGGAACAAGAAGTAGAACATCAAAGTCACTGCCTCCGAAATATGGTATGTAAAAAAATATATAGTAATATAGTTACCATTTAAAAACAATTGATTTCTTTTTTTTCCAGGACTTCTTTCCATGGCACTTAAACCCTTCTTTTTCGGTTTGGTACCTGATATTTCAATAGTACCAGTTAATTTAAGTTATGATAAAGTTTTGGAAGAAATTCTTTTCGCTTATGAACTCCTCGGAATTCCAAAACCTAAAGAATCAACAAAGGTTACAAAATATTAAAATATATATATTCATAATGTGAAAATTATAAACAATCTTTATCTATAACTATTATTTCTTTAAGGGGTTTTTCAAAGCTTTGAGTATTTTAAATGAAAATTATGGAAATATTTATGTGAATTTTGGTGAACCTATTTCTCTTAAAGAATATTTTTCGACAAAAATTGATAGATCGAAACATTGTATGGGACCTGTTTATCTTCAACAATTATCCAAGGAAGAAAATGATCTTATTATAAATTTAGCTTATTCTATAATTAATGAGCAAAGGGATTTGACTGTAGTTAATTGTTTCAATTTGATAGCTTCAATTTTAAATTATTATTATAAAACTTCTTCCAATCCTCTCACTGTTAACGAACTAACAACAGAAGTACAATGGTTGTTTTCTCAATTAAAAATATTAATAACGGATCGTTCAAAATTAGCTTTAAAAGGTATATTAAATATTTTGAATGATTTTTATTTAATTAATATTTGTGGGATTTATTTTCTTATTGATTTCTATTCTTTTGGAATATTTTGTATTTTAATAATGGCGTAAATGACTTTCGCCCTTTTTTTACATGCATGACATAAATTTTTTTTTAAATAATTTTTTACAGATGTTACAAAAGACTTCATAATGTACCATTTATCATTACATAAACCGTTGATATTCGTATCTCCCGATGAGAAAATTTATTTGGGAAAAATTGTCACATCGAATACAAAAATTGTTTGTGATTCTTTGGAAAAAAATTTTTTATCCTACAACACCCTAGACGTTGCCGTACCTGTTTTAATATTACAAAATTACGTTAATCCCATTTCCCATTATTTCATACCCATTTGTTTTATTTCTCAAATCGTAGATGTACATTCATCAGATTCAATTTTATCAAAATGTGAGTCATTATAAAACCGAGTTATTATTATTATTATTTTCACTTGTAGTACTTTTATTTATTACTAATTATTATTTCGATTTCAGCCATTCTTTTCAGGGAATACGAATTTTTATGTTCGATATTTTCATACGAATTTGTCATTCATAATAAATTAATAAAAAAGGTACCGTTGATGACGTTCTGTCAGACATTTTTTTTTTTTTATGGGATTTAAAAATTATTATTTTTTTTTTTTATTTATTTAAGGAATTTGAAAAAGGAATCGGGGATTGTAAATCGATTGGCATAATCTCTACCGAAAGAAACGACGACGATTATGTAAAAATGGGAGAAAATAAAAAATTATATTTTTTCTGTCTAAATTTTCTAAATTCTTTTATTCCCGCTTACGTCACCGTTGCGGAAATTTTATTAGAGGTACCCGATTATTAATTTATTTTTTTATTTTAATAATGTAACACAATTTAATTTAATTTTTTTTTTCTTTTAGTCACCCGGTAAAAGTTTTTCAAAACAAGAATTATTAGAAACAAGTCAAAAAAAAATTGAAAAAGAATTGGATCGCTTACACCCGTGTAATTTATCATTAGACGTGTTAAAAAATTCATTGGAAGCTTTTGCCTACGTTGGAGCCGTGTATAAACTCAGAGGGTATCATAAACGAAAAAAAATTTAAATTTAATAATAAAAATGTCGCGAATCGATTTCCCCCCCTCTCCCCCTAGACTATAAATTTATTTTTATTTATTTTTTTTTAGGAATTCCATAAAGTTTAAAATTAACGAAAAAGTCATGAAAGAAATTCATTCGAAACTAAGTAAGCATTTTTGTTTTTTTTTTTTTTTCAATTATTATTATTATTATTATTATTTTTAATAATTAATTAAATTAAATTAAAATTTTTAAAATTTAATTTTTTTAGGATTGTACAACAGTAGAAAATGTTCTTGTAGTGATGAATCATTGAAATTTTTTACATTTATGCAATCATCTTTGTAATAAAAAAAAAATTAAATTAATCGTACGCGTATATATATATATAGCATATAAAAGACAAATTTTCATAATAATAATAATAATAATAATAATACAGTATTTTAGTAGATAATTTATTAAATTACAACTGCCTGAATTGTATTTTTTATTTTAAATACGAAGCTTAACATATTTTAATATAAAAACTTTTATATTTCGTAAGTTGAATGAATTTTTTTTCTTTTTTTTAAACTAATTTATTTAATTTAAATTGAAATTTAAAGGGAAAAAAAACATAAACAAATGGCTGCCATATTGTAAACAACAAACCAATTTAAAATTGATTTTTTTTTTCGAAAGGACGACAGAAAAAATTTAATTTAACTGATTAATAAGGAAACGAACTAACATGAAAGTTAATTTTTAATTTTTTTTTTTTTTAGATTAACAGGTACGGAAAGGATTTTAGGATTTTTTTTTTTTTTCAAAACACAAAAGTGTAATTTATAAAGGAAACTTACGAGGAAAAAAGGGAAAAAAGAAAACAAATAATAATAATAAATAAAAAAAAATTATAAGTAGTCGTGAAAATAAACAAAATGTCATGACAAATTATATAGCAGACGAAATTGTAGACAAATATGGATGTAATCATTCGCGGTACGAACCTACGAAAAAATATTTTTACATTAAAGAATTCGTAAAAGGTCCTTTTGGTACAAGTCTTATATCCGAACCTTATTTTTTACTCAATCAGTTTTGGCTGAATCGATTAAATGAAAATGAAAATGAAATGCACAACGAAGATTTAAATATAATTAGAAATTTGAGAAAGCGTTATCGCTTGTATTTAGGTTTGTCATCATCCTGTTTTCATTTTTTTTTTTAATTATGAGAGATATTTATTAAAATGTCATTTTTTTTTTTTTTTGTAAAATTCCAGGTCAGGGTATTCCAGATCCGAGTACGATAGTTCCCTACGTAGGAAAATTCGATCCGAACAATCAAGAATGTCCACCGTGGTTTTCAAATAATAATAATTATTTATTTTGCGACGATGTTAAAAATCGTAAAAAATGTTTTTGTTGCGAAAAAAATTATTTGTTCGAATGTCCCGACACGTGCAACGATGACGTCAACAACTCAAAATGTTTAAATTGTCCATGTGATATTTGTCATACTAAAAATCAAGATCTTGCGTCCTGCGATTCCCTTCAACCACCCTCATGTTCTTTAAAAAACAATCATGTAAAGTGTTTGGCGGCGAGAGGGGGCCACAAACAATTGTGTAAAAAGAAAGGTTTTCGGGGACTCGACAAATCGAATCGGTTTTTCCGGGACAACAATTTTCCACGTTGTTGCCCACAATTGAACGACCACCAATCGTTTAAAAGTTGCACTTGTAATAATTTAGACAAATCGGTTTTAGTTGCCACCGTTCAGAACGTTAAAAACTGCGGAACGAGTTACGATAATTTTCCACCCTTGAAAGAAAAAAAATGTATACACTCGTTTAAAAATTGTACGGAACCGGAAACGGTTTTAAAAGATGTTAAATCCGTTCTCGTCAACGAACTCAAAGAAACGTGTTCGAAAAAAATACAAACGGAAATGCCGCCGATTTGTAATTTCGTCGATAAATCAATACAAACGACAAACGGAACGGAAACGAAAAAAATGCCGAAAAAATGCGAATGCACGGAAAATTGTCATTTGTGCAAGGGAGAAGAAAAAACTAATAGTCATAATAATAATAATAATAATACAATTTGTCCGAAAAAAAATCCTACGAATGTTGAAAAATGCAAATGTTGTCAGTTAAATTCATGTTTGGAAAGTCATGCCTTGTGTTGTAAAGAAAGTAAAATAAATAATTGTCAAGAGGATAAAACGAAAACAAAATGTCCGATTGCCGAATTGACTCAATTGAAAAAAAGTTAGTAGAAAATTGTGTGAAAATGACACATTTTTTTTTTTTTTTTTTTTTTTTTGGGAGAGGGGGAGGGGAGAATTCGAAAATAAATCCGTAGGGGGATGATTAAAAAAAACAAAATAAATACTCACGACATTATTTCATGCCTTTTGTGTTTCAGCATTGGAAAAAGAAGTATTGAAATCAAATCAAAAATTATATTGTTGTACTTTTTTGCCATCAATGAGTGCGTGGCAATTAAAAACGTAAAAATTAATTTTTTCGGATCCCTTTTTTGTTTTTTTTTTTTAACCGACGATAATTATTTTTAGCAATATATGATAAGTATTTAAATGGCGAAGATTTAGAAAGGAAAAATGGATTTTTGTTACACGGCACGGATTCTTTACAATATGAAGATTTTGGTCGATTTAAATCTATGGAATATTTTGATAAACGTGAAACGAAAATGAATTATAGAAATATTTCGACGATGACACGTATTGACGAGGACGATATCGAAGAAAAATCAGTTAAAGTTAAATATTTAAATGAATTGCTGAGTAAAGAATCACTTGCCTATGGATTACGTAGTAAGTGTAGGAAAGGTGAAAAAGAACCTAAACGTAAAAAGAGAAAAAGTATTTCGAAGCGAAGTAGTAAAACGTCAGATTAATTGCAAAAATCTTTACGATACGATTACGGGTGCCTTGAAAACGGAAATTAATTCGCCGGAAATGTGTAAAAAATACATGAAATCCTCATTCGTCACTAAAAAGCGATAAGACTTAAAAATACCAAAAAAGGAAGTAAAAAAGAATACTTATTACAACTGTGCCAAATGATTAGAAATTGCTTGATAAAAAATAAATAAAAATTTTAATACATACGCTAGTTTAATTTTTTTTTAATATTTTCACATCAATTTTAACTAAAAACGTTTATCGAGTAACTGTTATTTTACTTTAAATTTATTTTTCCCTTCAAAGATTGTTTCATAAAGAAAATTTTAAAGTGGCGACAAATTTCCCTCCACTTTTTTTCCCCTCCTCATCAGGGATATAATTTTGTGGCTTCACTTTTTAAGGTGGAGATTTTATAAGTGTAGGTGTTTTTTTTTTTTTTTTGTTTTTTTTTCAGGGTGTCAGGCACAGAGAACTTTATTCTAGAACTATTAAAATTTTTTTCTATATTTAATAATTTTCACCGATTGAGATAATTACAAACTAAAGAACTTATTGTTTTTTTTGATAAAACTCATTAAGTTAATATAAAATTTGACTGAACAATTTCGCAATATTGCATTATTTAAAAAGTGTTTTTTTTTTTTTTTTTATAAAATGACCACTTATATTTTTAAGTTATAAATAAGTGAAAGTTATTACAATCGCATGTATATTTACAGTGACTTATATTAATTTTGACTTGATTAATTCGAAAAAACTTCAAAGGTAAATGAAAACTAACAATCAAATGCTTAAACCTAATTGCGCAAGAATAAAATTGCATCGAGTAATATAATGATAATAATAATAATTTTTATCGCTTTTTAGATGTCTGATATGTTGATTAGCAGAGATTTGTTTACTACAAGAGTAAACTCCACTATGATGTCTATTAATGAACGGTGAGATGAAATGGTTTAAATAAATGCCAATGGGTTTTCACATCAATATGGGCGATACTTTGTATTTGCCAAAATTAATTATTTCCAAAAATGAAAAATTAAGCCACCAAATTAAATACACATGTATAATAAAGGCCTCTAAAATATCGAATATTAAGGTCGATTAATATCTTTTTATATTTTTTATATATATTTTAAATTAATTATTTATCATAATGTAGAAGAAGAAAACAAGAGAGTAAATTCAGTTTTGGAACTTGACTCCATTTTCAAGATGACATAACACAATGCATATTTTATGTAATTTCAATTACTACTAATACTATTTTTGTATTTTATTAAATGCTTTGCTCTTAATCTCTCTTTTTTAACAATTTTAGTTTTTTAAAATTTCATCTTTATTATAATCATTTTAGTTTACAACAATAATGTGCACATCATTGTTTTAACTGTTTTTGTTGTGATGGTTCTTTTAAAAATTTTAATATCTTGATCTTAATTTTTTTTTTTTTAGTTTTATTTTTATTATTAATATCAACTTGAAATAATAATAATAGTAGCTTTTTTTAACATGGCTTTTTTCTGTTTCTGTTTTAAACTTTCACTAATAAAAATACATTTCCGATTTTTGCTTATTAACGTAACTGATTTGAAATCGTAAACTCAATGTGATTAATGATTTGAAATCGAATTCTCTCAAACTAATTGTTTTTAGCTTAAAAATCTTTGTTTGCTTTTATATAAATTACTGCTTTTTATAATAACCTAATACTTATTTATTATCGAAAAATATGCATACATGTACATCTTGTGGGGTCAAGCCAAAATCTATGTGAAATACTTTTTCATCATGGAAGTAGACACAAGGAAGTTTGCTACATGATTTTCTTACCGAGTAGAATAATAGGGATGTCATCAAATTCACAACGGGAGTGTGTAAGGATCATGGAGAGAAAACGACATTAGTCGAGAAGTTGACAAAAAAAAAAAAATTTGCTTATTTAGAAGCTTAAAAAAAAAAAAAAAAAAAAAAAATTTTTTTTAAATAAGAGATTCTCTTTTTGTAAAAGAGTCGCATAATAATTTGGTTGGCTTACCTTGACTTTCTTTACTGACTAATTCTCAAAAATGAATTCTTGAAAATTAGATTTACATACTTGCAAAAAAAGGCAAGGCCAGCTCAAGCTTCTGTTTTGACTATTCGAGCAAAGAATACTGCCCAACAACAAGCATCTGCTAAAAATAGGAGGTTAGCTTTGCAGATGGAAAAAAGATTATCGGCAATGGCAGCCTTAAAACTTAAAAAGGTATTTTTTTCTATTTTTTTCTTTTTTTTTTTCAGATTATTTTCTCTTATTATTATTATTATTATTATTATTATTAACTGATATTTTTTATTTTCAGAAAAGCATAAGGCAAAGATTAGGAATTCCTAATCCCTCAATAACCCCAAATATACACGATCGTTTATCCCTCCCAGGAAGATTAAAAGCACGCCGTGCTAGAATGAGAGGTGCTCCAAGAGGTAGAAGCCTTCGTAAGTTTTATTTAATTTCAAAAAAAAATAATAATAATAATGATATTTATGAAGTGTAATCGAATTCAGTTTTTTTTTTTGTGTGTGTATTGACAATGACAGAGAGAACACAAAGCATGCAATCGTTAAAACTTGGAAAATTAGAAAGAGCTGCTAGCATGCAATCCCTAAACAATGCAAATCAAAGACGAGGACGTTCCCGATCACGTTCCAGAAATCGAGCCAGAACTCCTTCTAGAAACGTAAGGGGAAATTCCGTGAACCGACAAGTTCAAAGGTCGCCTTCGGTAAACAGACAAGGATTAAAAAGAAATTTCGGACGACAAAAACGATTCAATTCGAATTCGTTTGGGCAGCAAATGGGAAACGTCGGTGCAAGAAGAGGCAAACGTAACGCCGCCTTAGGAGGTAGAAATCAAAGACTGGATAATTACGGTAAGTAATACTTTGTACCTGATCATTTTTTTTTTTTGGTCTTGCATTTCTGATAGAATCTTTTTTTCCAGGCAATAAATTCGGAAGGAATCAAAGAGGAAACAGAACACAAAGAGGTAGAGGAAATTTTGGAAGAGTCAATTCGCAAAATATGAGAAATTCACAATCCATAGGAAGGAGAGGACGTGGAAGAGGTCGTTCTGGCGGTAGAGGAGGTCGTACGGGAAGAGGAGGTCAAACCAAAGTAATCCTTCCCACGAAAGAAGAATTGGACAAACAATTAGAACAATACATGGCAAATACGAAAAAATCACATTTGGATCAAGAAATAGATACATTCATGAAAGAAAGCGGCGTAAATGATTTTTAATTTTTGTAAATAAATGAAAAAATATTTCAGTAAATTCTTGCCCATTAAAAAAATCTTACTGATAGAATAGCTTGTATTGATATAAAAAAAAAAAGAAAACTTTATAATAAATTGCCTGCAGCTAAAAAGTATTTTTAATTTTTTTTATATTAAATGTTCCTGAAAACCTTAAACGAACCTTAAAATCTCAACCTAATTATTAATATTCGATTCAAAATAAAGATTGTAGAATGATGATAAAGTACAGTCTGCATTTTTAAAAAAAAAATAAATAAATATAAAAACTTATCTTAAGAATCCAGCCAGTTTCTCAAGTATTCACATTTTTTCGGTGTCACAGATCCGACATCACCACAAAATTGATAAACCTATAAATGAATAAGAATTAGAAAAATGTTTTTATATTTTGATTGACAGAAAAAAACAGGTATAAGAACTTACAGGACAAACTCCGCAAGGTGTTTGCACAATTCCAGGAGCAGGTAATAATGGTTCAACTGCTCTATAAATCTTTGTTAAATCAACGTCTACAGCTTTTTCTACTTTTCCATCATACACGATTGTATCTAAAATGGTTTCGATATCTTCTACGGAAAGCATAACCTATAAAAGACAACTTATGTACAATTTCTGGAAAGATATTATATAAAAAGAGAAAAGTAAAATAAATTTTTTCTACCCTTGATATTCCTAATTCTGAAATAAACTTCCATACTTCTTTCGATGAAGCATAAGACATGTTTTTCCATTGTCGAGGACTACCATTAAAGTCTTTTAATTTTTCTTGTTTTTGTTGTAAAAACCTGTAACATTGTTGGCTTAAAACTCCAACAAATTCAGCTTCAAAATCTTGATCACTGTACCATGCTCCACCTGTAAGTGATTTATCAGGTTCTAAATTATACAGCATATAAACTTTTTTTTTACTAGCCTGGAAAAAAAAAGACAGAATTAATTTAAAAAATATATAAGTTGATATAAAAATTAGCTTTTTTTTTCTACTTACTGAAACTGATTTGACAGCCTTTATTAATTTTTTATTTTCTAATGCTTTTAATATTTTATTTAATTGTGTGGGTAATAAATTTGATTGATATCGTATGTCCCTTATCCAAATTCCTTTATTTCCTGCCGCTTCAACGATGGAATATACAACTTTTTCTTCATTATCAGCACCTTTAACGCTATCTCCCTTTGCAACATCTTTAAATTTGTATATAAGTTTTCCTCCTTGATTAAATAAATCTATATGTCCGGTTGACAAGAGTTTATTAAGTATAGCTACCCTGTCTTCGGGTATTAGCGATGGAGCCTCGGATTGAATTTCATGGTCACTTGCCCCTTTAGGATATTTTTTAATTATATTTAAAACTTCACTCACGGCATCTTCTGACACTTCACTCTGTTCTTTAACTTTAATGTCCTTTTCCTCTTTTATACTTTCATTACTCACCGACGCCATAGCTACAATTATATTTGTATCCAGTTTAGGTTATGTTCGCATTAAATGTTGGTTGATGATTTCATCAATTTTTAGTTTTATTAAAATATGAAAAATACGAGATAGCAGAGAATTTTTTTAGCACAATTTAAATGTAATCAAATATTTAAATTATTATAACACATCAAAATATTAAAAAAAAAAAAAATGCAGGAAAGTGATTCAGAAACTGATGATCTCAACATAGAATCCAATTTTTTTTTAAAGCTACAGAATAAAATGAAAAATGTATGTATTTCAGATTTGTAAAAGAATTTGTATTTAATATTTAACATAATTAATACCCTAAAATGAAATTAATGATTTCATTAATATTCTGATTAATATAAGGTATTCATTCATCAAAAAACCTTATAATGTCATATTTTTCCTTTTCTGAATAAATTTTAATACTTAAGGTTCTTTGTTTCCTTCAGTTAGGTTTTCAAGATGGAGTAGCCAAAGGAAGAGACCTATCATTGCAACAGGGTTTTGATGTAGGTTATTCGGCTGGATTTAACATGGGTAAAAGATTGGGAACAGTACTAGGAAAGTTAAGGTATAATAATTTGTGTCAATTATTATTAATCAATAAAATATACTTTAATAAAAAAAATTTCTTTTTTAGGTGTGAGAATTCATTAAAAACGACAAGTTCCCAGACACAAATTGAAGTTGGAAAAATTTCTAAAAAAGTTTGTTTAATATGTTCCCATGAAAATAGTGAAACACCAGTTAATGATACAGTTTATCCTGAATCATTTGAAAAATTAGTTCAAGAACAAGAAGCATTTAGAAAAAAACTCGATAATAGTACAGATCCTAATTTGTTAACAATAATAGACATATTTTCAAAATAAATTTTTTTTTTTTTTTTTTTTAATTCTGGAAAGATAATTTGTAAAAAAAAAGTTTAAAAAAATTATTTAACCAAAAATTAGATTTTTTTTATACTGTTAAGAATTGAAAAAAAAATTAATAAAAAAAAAAAACAATTTAAATGAAAAATAAAAAAACACTAATAAAAAAATTAAAGGTTAATTATAGTTCAATACTTATTTTTAAGCAATTTATTTTTATTGAATTCTTTACAAGTATAATCCTTCTGGTGTACCTTCTTTCTTTCTATATAAAACACTTTCTTTAGATTTTTTAAAATCTTCATTTGTTACTTTCATTCTTCTTTCCCTTAAGGCAAGAAGCCCTGCTTCCGTGCAAATGGCCTGAAAATTTTACAAATAATAATTAATTTTAGTACTGAATTCAAATAATTAAAACAATTAATAATATTATTCTAAATTACTTTTATATCAGCCCCAGATAGATCATCTTTGGCCATTATCAATTCTTGTAAATTAACATCTTCTGCTAATGTCATTCTCGATGTATGAATGTTAAATATTCTCTTTTTCGTTTTTTCATCTGGAAGAGGAAATTCTATTTTTCTATCGATTCTTCCAGGACGAATTAAAGCTGGATCCAATGTTTCTATTCTATTTGTTGCCATAATAACTTTAACATCTCCTCTAGAATCAAAACCATCAAGTTGATTTAAAAGTTCCAGCATAGTCCTTTGTATTTCTCTTTCACCCCCTGAGTTAGAATCATAACGTTTAGTTCCTACTGCATCTATTTCATCGATAAAAACAATCGAAGGTGCATGTTCTTCAGCTACTCTGAAAAGCTCCCTTACAAGTTTTGGACCATCTCCCTATTAATTCAATATAGGAAATTACAATTAGTTCTAATTAGAAATTTTCTAACCAAAAAGTAAATCAATTTTTATTAATGAGAAACAAACCAAATATTTTTGAATGAGTTCTGAGCCGACTACTCTTAAGAAAGTGGCAGATGTTTGGTTAGCTACAGCTTTAGCCAATAAAGTTTTTCCTGTTCCTGGGGGACCATATAAAATTACACCTTTCGGAGGCTTAATCCCCATTTCTTCGTAATATTCTGGATGAGTCAAAGGAAGTTCTACTGACTCTTTTATTTCTTGAATTTGAGTGTCTAATCCTCCTATATCAGCATATGTTTCTTGAGGAGCTTTTTCTAATTTCATAACAGTAACTAGAGGATCAGTATCATCTGATAAAACTCCGACTACTGCATGAACCTAAAAATTATGTGAAAACGTAAAAAACGATTCTTGAGTAATCGATCATTATTGAAAGAATAAAAATTTCAATATTTAAATGATAGTTACTTTATGATTTAAAAGTACAGAACAACCAGGTTCAAGTTGATCTTTATCAACTATAGAAAAAATGCTAACATAGTGCTCACTGCCAACTGCAGTTGACACAATAGCATGATTATCATCAATTATTTCTTCCAATGTTCCCACAGACATTGGTGTTCCCCTCAATTCATCAACTTTAGATCTTTCTTCCTAAAATGTAAATATTACACATAAATATTTTCTTAAAAATATTCTTATTTATTGTAGTAAAAATTAGGAAGTAATAATTAAAATTAAAGGAATGCTAACTTCATTTTTTTCTTCTTGAGGCTTAAGGCGTTCTTGATTCCTAATGAATTCCTCTTCCATCAATAAGTAATCCTTAATTCTTTCAGATTTAAGTAATTTTAATCTACAACGGGTATGAGGAGTTACGGGAGGAAGTTTTAATGCTGCATCAGGTCCTTTCGTTTTTCTTTTTTTTTTCCCCACTCTAGTTGGAATAGGGGGCTCATATTTTTTTTTCTTTTCTTTATCATCCTTTTTGTCACCCCCAGAACCCGTTCCTCCTGATTGGTTTTGCCCCTAGAATATTTACAATGTAAATAAAAATAAATAATGCCCATAATAATTTAGTTATTTCAAGCCGGCGGGTGAAAATTATGCATTTTATAATGACTTACCATTTTAAACAAAAACTGATGATCAAATCCTAATAGTCATCAAACTTCTAACAAAATTAATGCCACGACAAAATTCACCAGTACCAACTTTATTTTTTTTTTTTTTTTAAGTTTTAAGAACACTCACAGAAATTAAATTAATTTAAAATAAATTAATAAATTTTTCCTTCTGCATAACAGAAATGATAAAATATTTAAAAAAATTTTTTTATTTACTTTATTTCCAGAAAAAACCCCAAAGCAAGTTAAATAATTAAATTTTAAAAATACTTATAAGTATAGGAGGCAATAGTGTCTTTAACATGAATTTTTCCCTCCAATTTTTTTTGTAAAATTTCAATTCATTTTAAATTATTTTAAATAATATTATTTAAATATTAAACACGCAAATTAAACACATTTGAAAATTTACACTGATTAATATATAGTTAAAACATAAAATAAAAGCATTCTCATTAAAAATATAATTATTATATTTAAATTTTAAAAATTTTAAAATCTTTTCCTAATTTGATGTAACTCAGTATTAATTCAAATTATAACTCAAAAAAATGATAATTGTTACTTTTTTTATCAGTAATACTTAATAACTTTTTATTTTATCAAAATTTAATTTAAATTATTTTTTAACTTCAAAATAAAATGTTAATAAAAAGCAATAAAAAATTTATTCAGGTCTAATTCATAAATTTTGATATAATCCTAATTATTTTCCCATAATTTTAATTTTAAAACCATTTTATTATTTATTTCAGTTTAAATTTATGTGAAAAATTATATTCTTTAAATTAACTCTGTTTTTGGGAATGGTTTTTTTAATAAAGTTTATATTGCGCAGTATCGAATAATTTTTTTAAAAATAGAACGCCATTTTGAAAATTCATAATTTTTACCTTGAGACAAATAATGTCATTAAAATTATATATAAAACAAAAAAAAAATTTATTTCCTAAAGATAATTCTTTATTCTCGACCATGATATTAATTTAATACTTTTAATTTTAATTTTTTCATTCGAGTGAATAAATCTCAGAAATTCCATTACGATTTTAAGATCTGTATTATAATTTAAATTAAAAATAATTTTTTAATGATTAATATTCTGTGAGATTCATAATAAAATAATACAATATAAGATAAAAAATGATGATGTGATTAAAATTTACATTAAATAATAACAACAAAATGTAGAGAAAAAAAAAAAAAATTTCCCTGATTTATTTGTAGAAACGTTGAGAGACGGAAAAATCGATCCTTTTTACCTTATGGAACTTAGTGTGCATGACATTACAACAGTGACGTCATAATAATGTGTCAAAAAGACACCAGTTTCGTCGAGTTTTACGGTCAAGCATGGTGCTTTTTTCACCATGCCACGCATTTTCTACCATTTTATTAACGGTTTTTATATATTTTCATTTGCCAACAAATGCGGAGGTATTTACTAATTCGTTTTTTGTTAAACTGAGAGGAGAACATGAAAATGAAATCGCTCATAAAATTGCCAACAGGAACGGTTTTGTTAACCTAGGAAAAGTAAGTAAACCATTGCATATTGAACACTTTTATTATGTAAAACATAAGATACAAAATTATATTATTATAGTATAAAATGGTTTTTTAAATCATATAATTATATATTTTACAAACTGTCAATAACATATATTCATGTACATACAATGCAACACATTAAATTTAATGTGTTGAAATGTTAAACCAAATGAATGTTGAAATGTTAATCAATACAATAATTAGCTTTACAAAATTCACATACAGTTAAACAATGTTTCTATAATTATTATTAAAAAATAACTTTTGATTATGATATTTAATGGTTTAACAATTCAAATGAAGTCATACCTTTACAACAATGTAAAATATTACAATTATTAACATTAATTATTAACATGGCCTCCCTGATATGGTATTAAACATTAACATGATAAATTATTAAGCATGATCAAATTAATATAATATAATAATTAAACATAATCAATACAATAGTAAGCTTTACAATATTCACATGCAGTTAAACAATATTTTTATGATTTTTATTAAAAAAAATAACTTTAAACTATAATATTAAATAGTTTGACAATCCAAATGAAGTCATTTTTGTACAACAAAGTAAAGGACAATAATGATTATTAACATTAATTATTAACATTGCCTTCTTGGTATGATATTAAAGAATAATATAATATAATAATTAAACATAATCAATACAATAGTAAGCTTTACAAAATTCACATACAGTTAAACAATGTTTTAATAATTATTATTAAGAAAATAATTTTTGATTATGATAATTAATAGTTTGACAATTCAAATGAAGTCATTTCTTTACAACAATTATTAACATGACCTCCTTGATATGATATTAAACAAGAATATAATATAATAATTAAACATAATCAATATAATAATAAGCTTTACAAAGTTCACATACAGTTAAACAATATTTTTATGATTTTTATTAAAAAAATAACTTTAAGCTATAATATTAAATAGTTTGACAATCCAAATGAAGTCATTTCTTTACAACAAAGTAAAAGATAATAGTTATTAACATTAATTATTAATATTGCTTCCTTAGTATGATATTAAACAATACAATGAATTGTTTTTAATACAGTCACTCCTACTCATACAGATGATACAATTAGATTTTCTAGAATATTCTAAATTATTATTTGCATTACTTTTTTTTATTTTCATTACATTCATCTGTTATAATAACAAATTTAATGCTTGGTGGTGAATAAAACTAATCAACAATATGTTTTCATATATTTGCAATAAGAAAAAGTATAAATTGCCATATTTTATTTTAGCAAATATTGATTTTAAAAAAAAAAAAAAGTTGGTTCATCACATATTTGAGTGACGTGATTCCATTAAGATATTTTTTTCATCCTTTGTCACGAATCAAAGGTGTCTAACACGTCACGTGATTATGTTCAATATTTTAATCTTATTTATATAATGTAATATATATATATATATAT